TCCCCTCCTGAGATGTGGACTTTGATGCTTTCATATCTAATGCTACGGTGTGTGTAGGGGCTCTCTTCACCTTTGGAGAAGCCTGCGTTCTCTCTTGAGTGTGTTGATCTCTCTCTCTCTCTCTCTCTCTCTCTCTCTCTCCTCTCTCTCTCATACACACACACACACGCACACGCACACACACACACACACACACACATACACTTTTTCTCCTTCCTTCCCCTTCCTAAAATCCTCCATATAAAATCTGTTTTTATGTCATTGCTCATCTACTCCTGAAATTCTTTTCTGTGAGGCAAGACAAGAACCCAGTAACCCTGGGTCCGGGAGATGCAAAGGCAGATTGGGAGAAAGTGACCGTCTCTCTCCTCCCTGCCCCATATCAGCCATCCAGGGGGGCCCACCAACTTGAGCACTATGCAAACCTTGCTGCACATGACAGGATAGTTTCTGGGAGGCCCAGGCAAGGTTTAGCCCTGTGGGAACGAGGGGCAGCCGGTGATCTGCAGGCTGGGTAGGAGAGACTTCCACTTGCTCTTGAGGGCTCCACCAGCACCTGCTGATGCTGCAGCATTTTTAAGAGTCACAGCCTAGAGAATTCCTGCCCCCTTGTCCTCCTCCAGAACAAACATTTCTCTAAAGCAGGCCAGACTAGAGGAGGCAGAGGACATTCCTATTGGCACATTGCCCTCTACACAGGAAAATGCCAACCAAGCGTCTATGACACTGACCCGGTGCGCCCAGGACTGTAGAGCTTTCTAGACATGAGCCTTAAAGCTTTGACATTCCTGGGCCAGAGAGACAGCATAAGGGGTTAAGCATTTGCTTCTCAAGCAGCTAAATGAGGTTCAATCCCCGGCACTGCATAATGGTCCCCGGCATAGCACGAGGGGTCACTTCTGGGCACAGAGTCAGGAATAGTCCCTGAGCACTGCTCGGTGTGGCCCAAGTTCCCCCCAGCCCCATGTGGAAAAAAAATCTGGAATATTCCTGGGAGAATTGAGAGGTTGGGGTGATTCTGAGGATACTCTCCCCGCCCCTTGAGCCCAGCACACAAGTTACAGAGTGAATCTGAAGCCAAGCCCTGCATGAATGCTAATGTCATCTGGAAATATCGCCTTATCATGCTGCACTTCAGAGAGTTTATCGAATTAGAATGCAACAGAACTTCCATAAAATTTTATTTATGGTCCAGGGACATGGCACAAAGGAGTAAAATCTGTGTCTGTGTTAGGAGTCCCAAGTTCAACCCCTGGCACCACACTCCAGCCCTCCCCGCTTTCCACTCTCCAACACTGCCAGGTATATCCCTGCTAGCCCACAAGCACTATGTGAGGCTATAAAAACGTGTTTAATTAAAAAAAGTGGGAGGGGGTGCAGAGAGATAATATATCAGGTAAGATGCTTGTCTTGCATACGGCCCACCCCGGTTCGATCCCTAGCATTCCATATGATCTCCTGAGCACCACCAGGAATAATTCCTTAGTGCAGAGCCAGGAGGAACCCCTGAGCATCGCTGGGTGTGGCCCTCAAATAAGAAATAAATAAATAAGTAAAATTTATTATTATTTTTTTAAAGCTTCTCTCGCTGTTCTGATAGGGTCAGAGGGTGGAAGGGGTCCCATGAGCAGCACTGAGTACTCAAGAGAAAACAGAAGGGAAAGGTCCAGAATCTTCACAGCAGGAAGGAGACTCTTCAGTGTACTGGGGAGGTGGGAGGGGGGGACCATGAAGCCCCACCACAGAAAGTGACCTGGAAAGCAGCCAAGCAGTCATCCAGGTCAAAGGTCTGCCCTGTCCTTGAGAGCCTCACCAGGGCACAAGAGCCAGACAGGACACAGAGAGGGGCTGTCACATCTGTCTGCGGGCTCCTCTGTCCCGGGAGCCTCTGGAGAGAGAACAGGCCTACCATGTGGCCGGAACACCAGATGAGGCTTTGTCCCTGGGAACTGGCTTCTCCCGGAAGTGCTGGGTCCAGACTATGCCTCGAGAAGCAATGAGGGTCTGAGTTCAAGTCAGCCCAGCCAGCCAGATCTGTGAAGATCTCCCCCTCCTTCCTCTTACCTCAGTCGGCTTCTCAACACCTGCAGACTAGCACGTGCCCGGCAGGTAGAACCAAGGCAATGATTCCCAAGCTGCCTACACCTGTGGCATCAGTGCCATTTCCTGCTGGACTTCTGGGCCCCAGGACCTCTGCGGGCAGGGATGGGGGAATTCACAACAATTGCCTGCTTGATCTGCAACCCCTTCCAGTCTGGGTGTGTAGGGTAAGCGCAGTCTCATCCTCAGAAGCAGGAAGCGAACTTCCCACCTCATCCCTATGAACCTTCTCTGAGGAGCTGGAGAGATAGCACAGTGGGTAGGGTGTTTGCCTTGCACACGGCCAACCCAGGTTCGATCCCCAACATCCCATATGGTCCCCTGAGCACTGCCAGGGGTAATTCCTGAGTGCATGAGCCAGGAGTAACCCCTGTGCAATGCTTGGAATGACCCAAAAAGAAAAATCTTCTCTGAGGTAGAAGCATGGAAGACACAGTTTTTTTAAAAGTTATGAACAAAGGAGAAGCAAGAGTTGAGGGTGGGGCAAACCTGAAGATACATTCTGGGGGTGTCTAGAATATATATTCTGTGGTACTATCGCTATGGTCCCACGAACACTTTCTGAACTAATCTTGTCTGTGAATGGGGATGATACTATTTTCACTGCACAGATGTTAAGATGCAACACCCCAGGAGGACAGTGTCCCTAAACAAAAAACCCATATCCAAATGATTAACAAGTGAAAATGTTCTAAGTCAAGACTTCCATTAAGGGCGGGCTGGAGTGATAGTACAGTGGGTAGGGTGTTTGCCTTGCATGCAGCTGACCTGGGTTCGATTCCCAGCATCCCATATGGTTCCCTGAGCACTGCCACGAGTGATTCCTGAGTGCAGAGCCAGGAATAACTTCTGTGCATCACTGGGTGTGACCCAAAAAGCAAAAAAAAAAAAAAAAAAACCATTAAGGGGGCCAGAGAGATAGCACTGTAGGTAGGGTGCTCGCCTTACATGCAGCCAACCTGGGTTCAATTCCCAGCATCCCATGTGGTCCCCCGAGCCCACCAGGAGTAATTCCTAAGTGCACAGTCAGGAGTAACTCCTTCGCATCACCGGGTGTGGCTCCAAAACCAAAATCAAAACAAAAACAGTTTTACATTAAGGAAAACTGGGGCTGTGACTCAGTAGTCTAGCAATGGCCCTGCGTGTGTGAGGCCCGGGGGGAGGAGGAGAGAGGGATATATATATTTAATATCTATGCTAACTATGGGCTGGAGCGATAGCACAGCGGGTAGGGCATTTGCCTTGCACGCAGCCAACATGGCCGACCCGAGTTCGATTCCTCCGCCCCTCTCGGAGAGCCCGGCAAGCTACCGAGAGTATCTCGCCCGCACGGCAGAGCCTGGCAAGCTACCCGTGCGTATCCGGTATGCCAAACACAAGTAATAAGTCTCACAGTGGAGACGTTACTGGGCCCGCTCGAGAAAATCGATGAACAACGGGAGGACAGATGCTAACCATAAATGCGATAGCACAGCGGGTAGAGCGTTCGCCTTACAAGCGGCCAACATGGCCGACCCGAGTTCGATTCCTCCGCCCCTCTCGGAGAGCCCGGCAAGCTACCGAGAGTATTCGATATGCCAGACACAGTAACACCAAAGTCTCCAATGGAGACGTTACTGGGCCCGCTCGAACCATAAATATATTAAATATTAATATTTATAATAAATTTAACACTTCTATATATACATATATGTATATGTGTATGTGAAATATTTAAGCAAGTGTTGAGGGGGTGGCATCAAAAACACAAAAAGATTGGGATTCCCTGTCCCTCTCTCCCTCCCTGCCCAGGGGACCTTGTGCTCTGAAATAACCTAAGTGGGTTAGTAAGTGATCAAAGGGAGGAGGCTAGAGGTCTGGTTTCTAAGAACACAGGCTGGGGCATCTGCCGTCTGCCAGGGCCACCTGGTTGTTTCTCCAATTTGCTGGCAGACACCCAGCACCTCTTCCCCAGGTAATAACCCGACAGTAAAGTAAATCGAGGCCTTTACTTTTCAGTGCTCCACCAGCCCCGGCCTGCCAGCTTGTGGGTCCTCCAGGAACAAATATGCACTATACTACCCCTCCCAGAAAAAAAACGTGGGTTGACTCACCACAAAGTTGTGTTATTGCTAACAGCTAATTGCATTTCCTTGAGAAAGCACCATAAAAAAATTCATTGTCGGTTTTTTAGAAACAAGCTGCCAACTCCATTTTAATTGCTGGAGAGGAGAGTGTTGGGAAGTTGCTTAACCAAAACAACGCTCAGTGGGCATAAAACTCAGAAATTTCCCCAACCCTGAGTCCTGCTCTGAAACAGGAGCCAAGGAGGAGAAATGGGCTCAGCAGGGAACAAGACCTTCCCACCTGGGAGGCAGAGGCCCGGCCGGGGTGAGGCACCAGGTTTGGTCCCCTGCATTTTTGCAGAGATTTCAGAAAACACACATGGTGTGACTGGTAACGGGGCTGGAACTCTCTCCCCGAGTGTGTGAGTGGAGAGAGGAAGAGAGGGCAGGGGAGAACACAGACAAGACCATACATGCCTTTACTTTAATAACAGAGAACCATGGTTCAGTATGCAGAGCTGTGCTTCTCAAACCAACAGCGCATCAGATTGGCTTCGGTATGGCCTGCCCCAGGGGACCAGCCAGACTCGGGAGACACCAAGCAGCAAGGCGGGAGGGCCCTGATTCCATCTCCGACTCGACCCAAGCTGGCCCACCCTTGACCCCATTGGCCCAGGAGTCTCTGAGAGGACAGCTTCAGAAGAGACTGGGCCAAGGGGACCCACCCTGAGCATCTCCCCAAGATGTTCGCAGCCACAAGTGCTGGTGCAGAGGGGCCTTGTACTGCCAGCTCCCCACCTGGCCCCGGCTCTTTCCTCTCTGGTGACAGTTGGGACCCTGGCCCGGGGCTGGAGAGATGACTTGTCTCTCAGGCAGCACCGAGGGGTTCGTGCCTTCTGTGTTGGGAGTTGCTGCTGCTCCTCCATCTAGGGGACCTGCCAGAGAGCCGGGGAACAGGAGGGGGCTGAAGGGGAGAGAGCGCAATGCATGGGGTGCCACGGTCCCCAGCCTCGGTCCCCATGCCCATCACACACTACCAAGAACACCTGGTCTCTAGGTATTGGTGAGGGCTGAGAACAGGCATATGCTGGCTCCCTGGGAAACGCTTGTCACCCTCCCTCCGCCCCGTGCCCAACTCTTCCCCATCTTCTTTGCATTACTTGGTAAACGGGTCTCTGGCGTAGATCCCACTCTCTGGGGCACCGGTCTCTCACCTGACCCTCCCACTCTAGCTGCAGTCCAGTAGTTTGGACAGACCAAATACACCCTGAGCACAGCACAGGACAGAGGAGCATGAGGGCGGCCTCACAAACCACAGACCCAGAGCTGAGGCTGCATCCAGCCCCAACTCACTCTGCACTAAACCCAGTTCCTGAGTCCTCCCTAGAGCACAGGAGGGTGCCAGGACCAGCCATACAGGGAATTGAGGGTTCTCGGGGCCACAGGCTCAGGCCTGCTCTTCCGCTAGGAGCAGGACAGGCACCGAAACCAGAGTCCATGTTCCCGCATCCCACGCCCCTCCCCGACCTCCCACGGGGGGACACTCCCACGGGCTCTGGCCAGCCCCCAGCTCAGCCCAGTCCCCAGGGCTGCCCTCCTGCTCGTCCTCACACTCACGCGCGCCGTGTGGTGGATCCAGTCCAGGAACTCGGTCACCTTGGCGTAGATGCCCGGGCGATTGGGTTCTGCGCAGCCACGCCCCCAGCTGACCACCCCCACCAGGCGCCACGTGCCCCCATCCGGGCACACCAGGGGGCCCCCGCTGTCCCCCTGAGGGGCCCAGAGACACGGACAGTTAGTCCTGCCCCATCCCATGGACCTCACTGCTCTGGACCCCTCTCCCTGGGGCTCCAGGAGCTCCTGGAGCAGGATGAGGGCCAGAGCCCCCTATGGCCCCGTGGCCCTGCCCCTGCCCTCCTCCCCGACCCCCCCCACGGGTTGGCCCACCTGGCACGCGTCGGCCCTGCCGTCCAGGTAGCCGGCGCAGAGCATGCGGGCCGTGAGGGCACCACCGTACACGCAGGAGCTGTTGCAGAGCCGCGTGCTGAGCAGAGGCACCGGCGCGTCCTGCAGCGTGTCCGAGCTGTGAGCTGCAGGAGACACGCGCTGGGCGCATGGGGGGCAGGGCAACGGAGGGGAGGCAGGGACGTCCCCAAGGGAGGAAGTAGCCAGGGTGAGCGCCCGGGGCCTGGGTAAAGGAGGCAGGGCACAGGCGGATTTGGGGGCAGAGGCAAAAGGGGAGATGCTGACACCCCCCACCCCACCCCAGCGCCCCTTCCCCCAATACCAAGACCGCAGCACTCTTGGGAGTGGAGCTTAGGGAAACTAGGAATGGTTCATCCGAAGAGATGCAGGCAGGGGACACTGGGGTCCCTAAATCTGGCCAAAGGTGGTGCCGGAGGGAGGGGTCTGGCCCTGCCACGTGGTCAGGGAAGTGGAGGCGCCCCCCTTCCCCACTGCCCTCCCTCCCACTCCCACTCCCCTTTTGCACCCTCGTTGCTGACTCACTGTGGCTGGGGTCGGTGTGGCCCCAGCCAGAAACCCAGCACTGGGAGCCCGCGGGAAAGTGTCGGTCCTCAGCCGGCAGGCACACGGCCCCCACACTGTCTGCGGAGAGGCACGGGGGTCCTTGGCACCGACTAGGTGTTAACCTCCGGGCAAGACATGGATAACAGAGCCTTCCTGCTCTCAACCCATCCTGGTTCCTGCCCACCGCCACCAGCGCCCTAGACAGCTGCACACTATACCAAGGCTGGCGTGAGTGGGAAGGAGGAGGGTGGGTTCATGGGGAGGACAGTGTGCCCTAATTCACCTGGGGACTACTAGGGAACAATGGAAGCTCCTACAGGGTGCTGGTCCCCAGTTTCTCATCTGAGATTCTCCCCCAAGACATTTGGTCCTTCCGAGGGCATTGCTTCCCAAAAAGCGAGGCTTTACCCGCAAGTGGCGCACAAAGGTGATTTTATGTTTGCTTTGGGATCACACCCAGCGGTGCTCAGGGCTTACTCCTGGCTCTGTGCTCAGGGATCACTTCTTGGGGGGCTCAGGGGACCATATGCAGTGATAGGGATCGAACCCTGGTCCCTCAGACCCAAGGCAGTAGCTGATTCAGATTTCCCCTTCAGTTCTCTCCTGCTTCTAGCTGTGCCAGCGGAGTCAGCCGGTGGAGGCTTTTCTGCCACGCTCTCTGTGCCCATCAGCCTCTGGCAAGCATGGGAGCACACGCACGGGCTCAGCCCTACTCAGAGCTTGAACACGGTTCCTTTATCTATGGTTATTAGCTACTTCCTGGAAGGAACATGGACTCTCCGGGTGAGTAATAATTTATTTCCCCCTTAAACACGTGTTTAAGTCCACTTGGAAATATTACCTGCTGACTGACAGCAGGTCAGAGAGCACTAGTGTGTGTGTGTGTGTGTGTGTGTGTGTGTGTGTGTGCACGCGTGTGTGTGTGTGTCTGTGCGTGCGCGTGCATGCATGCCTCTGTGCATCTGTGTGTCTGTGTACCTTGGCACAGATCTGCTGGAAGCTTCCAGGGCCGATGCTGTGCTGAAAGACCTGGGCGCTAGGCTAAAGAAGTGTTTGCCACGGGTCCTTGTATTGCCTCAGTGTCCTCACGTGCCTGCCTCAACTACTCTCAGGTGTGTGAGGAGAGCCAGAGATGGCACAACAAGCAGGGTGCTGGCTTCACATGTGGCTGACCCAGGTTCAATTCCCGGTAACCCAGATTGTCCTGAGCCCCACTGGGATTGTTTCCTGAGCACTTAGCCAGAAATAAGCCCTGAGCACCACCAAAAGAACAAAAAGTACAGGAGTGTGGGGAGGTTGGGCTGAAAGACTGGAAACGTGAAAAAAAAAAAAAGGCTTATTAGGGCCAGAGTAATAGTACAGCGGGTGGGGTTTTGCCTTGCACATGGCCGACTCAGGTTCAATCCTGGCATACCATATGGTCCCCCAAGCACTGCCAGGAGTAATCCCTGAGCATCTCTGGGTGTGACCCCAAAAAGCAAAAAAGTAATTAATTAAATACAATAGCACTGCACTGTAGTACTGTCCTCCTGTTGTTCATCGACTTGCTCCAGTGGACCCAGTAATGTCTCCATTGTGAGACTTGTTATTACTGTGTTTGGCATATCAAATAGTCTCGGGGAGCTTACCAGGCTTTTGCCATGTGGGCAAGATACTCTCGGTAGCTTGCCGGGCTCTCCAAGAGGGGCAGAGGAATCGAACCCGGCTTCGCCAGGCCGGCCACACACAAGGCAAATGCCCTAGTGCTGTGCTATCATTCCAGCCCAATTAAATACAATAAATAATTTAAAATAAAATAAAAAGGCTTATTAATTGTAACATGTGACAAAGTGGATGGGATCTGTGGTTCTTGGGACAGACGTGGGAGAACCTGTTAGTAGATGGAATCAAAGAGAACCTTGAGACAAATCCCACCCATGGGCCCACTGTGGAAAGGTCCAGAAAGTTGACCCTCAAAGGAGCTTGTTGTACAAGAGTTTGTTGGAGCCTTGGGTGCAGGAAACACCCAAACTCTTAAGCCGCTGATGGAGGGGGCAGCGTGAGGCCTCCTGGTGCCTGAAGGCCCCTGGGCCCCAGGTCGTCTCTTGGCCCTGCAGTGCCCACCTGCCCACCCGCCCTTCCCACCTCCCCTCACCTGAGAAGTTGAGTGGTGTCTGGAGACGCAGGAGGGCAATGTCATAGTCGTGATTCCGAGCACTGTAGAGTGGGTGGGGGATGATCTTCTCCACCACAGCCCCCTGGTGCGGCCGGATGGCGCTGAGGCTGACCAACCCCACGTGCACCCGCCAGCTGGACAGGCGGGAAAATCTGAAACTGCACACAGGAGCGGGCTGAGCCCAGGGCAGAGGCGGGCAGGAGAGACTGGCCTAAGCAAGGCGGGAAGGTAAAGGGAAGCCAGCAGGGGCCATCCGCAGGAGTCCCTGTTCTGTAGCTGTCCACGCCCCTGGTGCTCTCCAGCAGGTGGTAAGACGTGGCCAGGGTCTGTTGTGGGTTCTGAATAAACGCCCACAGATTGCTGGAGAAAGGGAGTCACTGGTCCATCTGCTCCTCCTCCTTCTACTCTCTCCTGCATCACCTCCTCCAAGTTTGACCACAAAAATCAAAGGGTCTTTTGAGGGAAAAAATAATACAACTCTCAGGATGGTCAGAAAATCCCTCGTTTATTATGTGTGAAAGAGGGGAGGGGCACACCTCTCCAGACTGTTTCCTCAGGGTGAACGAGTGTCACACTGTCTGCCCTGCCCTCCACCAGAAGAGGCCCAAAGAACACACTCATGAATTACACCTTCCAACTGCGGGCCAGGATTTATTAAGCATCTACTATATCCCAGGACTGTTCTAGAGCAGGGGGACATGGCAGTGGGAAATTCATTAGGGGAACAGCAATTCAGTGGGCAAAAGACTGATCTGGCTCCTAGAGCATGTCCAGTCTGAGGAGAAAGAAAGACATTCAGCAAATAATTACATGGAAAGTGACTTCATTAGTGCTTTAGTAACAAAGTGTCACTGTCACTGTCACTGTCCTCCCGTTGTTCATCGATTTGCTTGAGCGGACCCAGTAACATCTCCATCGTGAGACTTTGTTGTTACTGTGTTTGGCATATCGAATACTCAGGGGGAGCTTGCCAGACTTTGCCATGCGGGCGAGATACTCTTGGTAGCTTGCCAGGCTCTCCAAGAGGGGTGGAGGATGCTAAAAGTAGTCGATAGACCAAACATGATTGCCACTCAAAGCCTCTCTTGCAAAACACAGTATCCAAAAGAAGAGAGAGAGAACAAGGGGGAATACCCTGCCACAGAGGCAGGATGGGACGGGGGGGGGGGGGGGGATGAGGGTTGAGGGGGGGATGCTGGGACCCGTGGGGATGGATGACGGGTACTGGTGGAGGGATGGGCACTTGATCATTGTATAACTGAAACCCAAGCACAAAATTTGTAAGCCTATAACTGTACCTCATGGTTTTTCACTAATAAAAAAAGAAAAAAAAAAGAGGGGTGGAGGAATCGAACTCGAGTTGGCCATATTTATTGACTGCTTGCAAGGCAAACGCCCTACCTGCTGTGCTATCGCTCCAGCCCAACAAAGTGACATGGATATAAAACCTTTATAAAAACGAACCACTCTAGGGCAAGCATGATAGGACAATGGAGAGGGCATTTGCCTTGCCTGTGGCCAACCTGGTTCAATCCCCGACATTCCATATGGTCCCCTAAGCCCTGCCAGGAGTAATTCCTGTGTACAGAGCCAATAATTCCTGAGCATCACCGGGTGTGGCCCCAAATAGAGTAAACTAAAATAAATTAACCACTCTAAAGACCCCATGTTTGTCTACCATTGCTATTCACACAGAGCATTCTTGGTACCCAGCAGAGAACTTCTGTGCCTGCCCCCATCACCAGGCACACCTGGAGCTGCCCCAGGGAAACAGGTGATTGGCCAGGGACACTTCCCACGGGACATTCCCAGAACCAGCAGGAAAGGTGGACGTGCCCCCTCCCGCCCCCACCCCGGCAGCCCGGGACTTGCCTGTGGATGCAGTGTGCAGCGGTCACCACCCAGCGGGGGCCCAGCACCGAGCCCCCACATGTGTGGCGGGAGCCCAGGGCCACGCTGGCCTGCCACGGCCAGCGCCCCGGAGCCACGGCCTGCCCGCCGACTATCCGGGAAGCCAGGGACCTTGCCCCACACGCTGTGGACAGAAGCATCGGTGAGAAGAAAGGAAAGAGAGGAGAGTGTCCACGGACCAAGTCCTCGGCGGGAGCCGGGTAAACAGAGTCATTAGCAACGGGGCCCTGAATCTGAGGCTAGGCAGGGGGAGGGTGGTGTGCCCAGGCGAGGCCCATCTGTCCCGTAATAGGCATTCAGAATGCGGGTCCACACTCTCCCGCCCATTTGGACCCTGATTCATCACCTCCTGAGAGTCTCCTGAAGCTGCCACCTGGGTTATAACCAACAATTCCACCTCGGGGCTTGTTAGGAGGGGAGCAAGTGTCAGAGGCCAAGGTGGTGGCAGGGGAGTGGGGGGTGCAGGGAGGCCATCAGGGGTGCAGGTCATCAGCCCGGAGCTGGGGGGACAGTCAGGGCCGAGAGCAGCTCAACCAGGGCTCATGCACAGATGGGAAGGGGGAAGCCCCGAAGCACAGGTGGGCGAGGACTCCCCTCCCCCCACCCACAGCCATACCCCACTGAGCCTTTCTCTGGGGCTCTCCAGAGTTAGGGTTGAGGGGGTTGATGGCAGGAGGGGTCCTTTCCACTGCCATCTTCCTGGACCCAAGACACAACTCACCAGAGCACTGGACGGAGACAATTCTGCCAGAAGTACAATTGTCGCTGCAAAACATAGATGCCAGCAAGGGCTGGGCAGAGCACAAGCCAGGGACCATCCCAAGCCCAGGCCCCCATTTGAGGGTGTGGAGGGAGAGACTTGGCAGGTTCGATGGGGGAGGGCATCTCTCAAGTACCCAGAGCCAACTGTTTCCTGCCTCCCCTCCCAGGTCCCCCACAGGGACCCCCAGGACAGCAGTGCCTTCTCAGCCCAGCGACCAAGAGCAGCTGCAGGGCTGGGGCTGGGGCTGACCAAAGCTGCACCTGCCAGCAATGATGCTCGGCTCTTCCCAGAGGTCCTGACCTGGGGCTGATGAACCAATGAACAACCTCGGTGCACTCCTTCGAGAATGTTCCATCCCAAACCCCAGGCCTGTGATGCACATCCTCGCTCTCTGCCTGCTCATTCCTTTCCCTCAACCCCTCAGTGCCTTCGGACCAAAGCCCTCTTCTCTCCTCACACACCTCTTGCCCCCAGTGGCTCAATGCCTGGATCCTTCTCGTACCGTCTGGTTTCCCAAATCCACGGCCCCTCCAGGGTCTCTGGAAACTCAATCCCAGTGCTACTTCCTAACACCCATCCAGGTGCATAACCGGGGAACCTTTCTGAGAACCCCCTTGTTCTCCATCTGTGCTCCTATGAGGTCCCCTCAGGGGCCAGGGGTCTTGGGGAACTGTTCAGATGGGGTAAGTATGAGGGCGGGAAGACCTGAGAGCATAGGCTGTGAGCCCACCCAGTGGCCTGCAGGACCAGGGAGCTAGAGGAAGCCCAAGTATGCCTGCATCTGCTTCCCATCACCCCAGCACAGAGGCAAGGGTCTGATCTCTCCTGGAGGGTTGTCGGGGCACCTCCAGGCTCCAAGCAACACTTGGCCAAAACAACACGACCGTCAGGAAGCTGGGAGAGAAGCCTGGCATCAAGGCTCACTATGGGCTGGGATGCATATTGGGTATGTGGAAGCCTAAGCTCAATCCCACCCGGCAGCCCCGCAGTATAGCCTGGCGGGCTCAAGCACGGCTGTGGAGGCCGTCCCAGACACAGATCAAAATAAGGTTTCTTTGGCTCTATTTTAGTTTTCTTTTGAGGGGGGAGTGCTAGGCTTCCCAAGTGGAGTTCAGGGCATCCAGGAGACCCTCTCAGCCAGCTAAGGCACAGGCTCAGGATGTGGTGCTACTTGGACCCTGAGGTGCCGCGGGTACCCCAACAGTGCTCAGGGTCTCAGGGTTGCCCCCAGTGATGCTCAGGGGACTGTGTGGTGCCGGGAATCACCCCTGGGTTGGCAGCATGCCAGGCCTGCACCATCACCTCCAGACTGTTTCTCTGGCCCTGATCACATTTCAGTTCCAGGACCTTGGGCAAGGCCCTTCACCTCACTGGGCCTCAGTTTCCCCGTGTGAAAAATGAGACTAAGAGTGCCATTTCAGCAGCCCACCAATTCTGGCTAGGAAACGTTCCTGTCCAGACGTTCTGTCCTGTCCCCCATGTGATGACACTGTCTCAGGGACAGAGAAGGGTTGGCCCCCTCAGAGAAGAAGGGGCCCCACTTCTGGAAGCAGACACCCTACCTGGGCTGCCACAACTCCTCCGGGGGCCCTACTCCAGGAGAGAACCGAGCAAATGCCTGGGTGCTGCTGAGCTTGACGTCAGACAGGTTCACGCCCTCCTGATGGGTGAGTCTTGGCAGTGGAGGGGAACAGAACAGGAGGAGGTCAGCTTTATTTTTTGTTGTTGCTGTTTTTGTTTTTTGTTTTTGTTTTGTTATTTTTTGTTTTGTTTTTGCTTTTTGGGTCACACCTGGCAATGCTCAGGGGTTACTCCTGGCTCTGCACTCAGGAATTACTCCTGGTGATGCTTGGGGGACCATATGGGATGCTGGGAATTGAACCCGGGTCGGCCGTGTGCAAGTCAAACACCCTACCCGCTGTGCTATTGCTCCAGCCCCAGGAGGCCAGCTTTAACAGACAGGCAGGGACAGCGAGTCATCAATGCCTGACTGGGCAGGAGCTGGGACCGAGATTCAACAGGGAGGAGAAACCTAGCAGGGCCCCGCCATACCCGGAGGCCAAGAGGTGGTCACAGTGAGCCCGTGAGCAGGTGAAGAGTGAGAGGCAGGGGTCTCAATGCCGGGGCAGCCCGGCCATCCCCCAGGTGTGACCCCATTACCTGAGATGCCCAAGGAGCCTGCAGATCCGCACCCCCAGGCCAGAACTCCAGCCCTCGTGGCAGACCCGGAGCCAGTCCTGCTGGGGCCGCACCTGCACCTCTAGCAAGAAGTCTTCCTCGGGGTTTATTCTGAAAGACACTGAACCTGGAGTGAGGAAAAGTTGCTGCAGAGAGGCCTGGGGACTGAAGTGGCCTGCAGGGGGCGCAGGTCTCCCTGGGCCTCAGCAAACCCGCCCCTTCCAGAGAAGCAGCTCAGCTTGGTGCTTAGACGTGCCCAGACACCTGTCCAGGCAGTCCCGTGGGCACAGGCACCATCCCCCAGGCTCCACAGTAAGACCCACAGGAGCTCAGCGACCAGTCTGGTGGCACATCACCTGGGAGGAAGGACTGAAATGTCCCTTCCTGATTTCAACTCTTGTGAGAACACCCAGCAGGTGACCATTTCCTCAGTGCCTGCTCTTCCCTGTCCCTGGGCTCAGCTCTTATATTTTAGGTGTATCACCCTTCTGACTCTCTGCAGTAATTATTATTATTATTATTATTATTATTTTATTTTGCTTTTTGGGTCACACCCGGCAATGCACAGGGGTTACTCCTGGCTCTGCACACAGGAATTACTCCTGGCGGTGCTCAGGGGACCATATGGGATGCTGGGAATCGAACTCGGGTTGGCCGTGTGCATGGAAAACGCCCTACCTGCTGTGCTATTGCACCATCCCCCATATTATTATTATTATTTTAGAGAGAAGGAAACAGAACGTCACAGAATGAACATGCCCAAGGCCACATGGCCAACAAAAGTCTCCAGGCTTCTTCTAACTCACTTCAAGGGTTAGATCCCACTCTGGGTAGCATCGAACCTTCTAATTCTCTTCTCTTACCTGCAAGGGAGATGGGGTAGGATGTGAGCGGAAATAATCTGGAGTGATGCTCCCTGGCCTGGGTAGAGATCCCTAATAGTTACACGGGACTCCCCATTCATGCCATGATGCCTCCCTCACATACATGGGCACCTTCCCATCTCTCCAGGCAGTCTGGGCTCCCAGAAATGCCCCTGCTAGATACCAAGACAATTCCCAGGAGTCCTGAAAGGCCCAGCTCAGAAACAGCTCTGCAAGGCGGGACCCCGTTGCTACCCTCACACCAAGGAAAGAATACAGAGCACTGGGGATGCACTCATGGCCCCTCATTTCGGCTCCCACAAGAAACAGGACCCCCAAGCTTGGCTGGGGTGGGTGTCTCACAGTCTCTGCAGAGCGACCCACCTCTTCTGGGAAACCCAGGGAGCAGAGCATTGTCATCGCTGGTCTCTGAGCAGCTCAGACTCCCGTCCTCGTCCTGCAAGGTCCCCGGGGCTGGCTGAGAGGCAGTCGGCCACAGATACATCACTTCCAGGGCAAAGACCAGAGAGGGTGAGAGAGAAGAGACTGAGGGCAGGAGGGACCAGCAGGCAGAGGGAGACCAGTACATCCGGTCAGCACCCATCTCGGTCACATCCCCACCCAGGGCCCTCTGTGTATCTGCCTCTGTCTCTCTGACTTCAAGGCCAAGTTTGCTGAGGGCCCCCAGGGAGAACCTACTCGGGTACCCGCCACTTCTCGTCGTGCAGAAGCTAAAACCTTTCCTCTCTGCCCCTCCCACGGCCCCTTGCTGTCTGTTCCCTGGCACAGTGCCCGCTGCTCTCTGCTGAGCCCCACAGCCTGTCCCTGCCCCCCAGCCCCGCCCACATCCCCCATGCCACTGAAGGGGCCCACCACTACCTAGAAGCCAAGAGCCAACACTCGCCCCAGCCAGCAGTCCCAGCACTGCCAGCAGCACACAGCCACGCCGCCCGGAACACCAGCGCCTGGCCCGAGAGACTGTGGGGAGGCAGAGGAGCGTTTGGGTCTCACCGCGGACGACCCGGAGAGAGGATCTGGGGGTGAGATGGCCCCTTCACTGCCCTCACCCCAGTCTGGCCCCAGTCTGGCTTGCTGCTGGAGTGTGTGTCCTGTTTCTGCTCGGCAGATGGTGAGTCCTGGGCCCTTCTCTGCATACTGAGCCTCCACGGGGGCCTGGCCAGCCAGCAGCAGACCCTGGGGAAAGAGTGTCAGTCACTCAGCAGCCCCACACTGGGGAGGAAAATCACAGACACTGCAAGTCCCTACAGGTGCCTCTGTGTGTGTGTGTGTGTGTGTGTGTGCGTGCATGTATGTGTGTGTGTATATGTGGGGGGGTGTAGGGGGTGGTATGTGTGAGGTAATGTGTGTGTGGTGTGGTGTGTGATGTGTGTGTGATGTGTGGTGTGGTGTGTGTGTATGTGATGTGATGTGGTGTGTGTGATGTGTGGTGTGGTATGGGGTATGTGTGTATATTTGTGATGTGTGGTGTGTGTGTTTGTGATGTGTGGTGTGGTGTGATGTGGTATGGTGTGTGTGATGTGTGGTGTGGTATGTGTGTGATATGTGTGTGTGATGTGTGGTGTGGTATGTGTGTGTGATGTGTGGTGTGGTGTGGTGTGTGTGATATGTGTGTGTGATGTGTGGTGTGGTATGTGTGTGTTATGTGTGGTGTGGTATGTGTGTGTGATGTGTGGTGTGGTATGTGTGTGTGATGTGTGGTATGGTGTGGTGTGTGTATGATGTGTGATATGTGTGTTAGGTGTGGTGTGGTATATGTGTGTGATGTGTGGTGTGTGGTGTGTGGTGTGTGTGATGTGTGACATGTGTGTGATATGTGGTGTGGTATGTGTGTGTGATGTGTGGCGTGGTGTAGTGTGTATGTGATGTGTGATATGTGTGTGTGATGTGTGGTGTGTGTGTGATGTGTGATATGTGTGTGTGATGTGTGGTGTGGTATGTGTGTGTGATGTGTGGTGTGGTGTAGTGTGTATGTGATGTGTGATATGTGTGTGTGATGTGTGGTGTGGTGTATGTGTGTGTTGCCGCAGACAAAGCAAAAAGTCTCACACCTACAAGGCAGGTGACCTACATCCTTGAGAAGCCCTGTCCTATGCATTATTCATCTTCGAGACTTACCCTGTGTCCACAGCCGTCTCTTCAGTCCCACTGACCTTACTATCGCAGCCAGGACGTGTCAGCACTGATGGAAACCCAGGTTGGACCCATTCCAAAGCGCATGTCCATGACCTCAGTTGCCTCCCATGAGTACAGGGGGCATCCCCTGAGTCCCCCCAGCCCCCTCCCTCAACTCAAGATCTCACCATTCATCATTTCTGTCCATCTAAAGGAAAAAAGTAGCCCCTCCAATGCATCATTAAATTGGTTAAGTTTTTCGTCTTAGACAGAGGATACTATAGGGAGTTCAAGATAAATCCATGGGGGACTGGAGAAATAGTACAGAGGGTGAAGTACTTGCCTCACATGCAGCAGACTGGGGTTCAATCCCCAGTACTGCATATGGTTCCGAGTACATCCAAGAGTGACCTGAGCAGAGCCAGGAGAAGCCCCTGGACACAGCTGGGTGTGTCCCCCCACAAAAGATAAATCCTCCTCCTCCAAAAACTGATAAATCCTTATCGTCTCCCAACCCCACTTCCTCAAAGAACTTCTAGTTGAATTCTGAAGACAAATCAGGTAAACAACGACAATGTTAAGTGACAGAAAAAACATTCGGGACCAGAGATATACTTACCTTGCATGTGGCCCACCCAGGTTCAGCCCAATCACCACACACAGTCCTCTAAGTAGTCCCCAGAGTGATTCCCTGTTCTCAGAGCCAGGAGAAAGCCCTGAGCATTGCCAGGTATGACCCCAAACAAAAATCATTAGGTAAACTACCATTGGCATTCAGGAGAGCTTATATCTTGTTGGGAAGATAAGAAAGGCTTTCTAATAGACTAACACCTAAGTATAGTAGAGATAAGGGCCAGGAGGATCTCTCCATGGCTTGGAAGCCGATCCCATGTGCTGGGGGAAAAGGCAGCCAGGATAGAGAAGGACCACTAAGTAAATGATGGTTGAAGGACTTGCTCAGGATGGTAGATGCGTGCTGAAAGTAGACTATGGACCAAACGTGATGGCCGCTTAGTACCTGTATTGCAAACCATAACACCCAGGAGAGAGAAAGAGGAAATGTGCCTGCTGCAGAGGCGGGGGAAGGGGGATGCATGGCGGGGTGAGGTGCCAGGAGAGATACTGATAAACTGAACATTGGTGATGGAGAATGGACACGGTTGGAGGGATGGGTACTAGAACACTGTATGACCGAAACGTAATCATGCACGTTTATAAGTCTGTAACTGTATCTCACGGTGATTCATTAAAATAAAATGAAAAGAAAAGAAAAGAAAAGAAAGGCTTCCTAGAAGAGGCAGCTTCTGAGATGCCAAGTTGAGTGTGGGTGGAGCTAACATGTGTTGAGTATTAAGTCTTCCAGACAAGAGAATTGAAGAGGAAAAATCATGGGGGCTAAGAAAGAATAGAGCTGAGTACGTGATATATTCACTTGAAGATTCATAAGCAATGAAGAAGAGTAATGGACGTAGGATCTGCGGTGGGGGTGGAGGAGGGAGAGGACCTCAAACCAGCGGTTCAAAGCTTGGTCTGCAGCTTCCTGAGTGAATCTGCCAAGCGAGGCTCTCTCTGAGCCGTAGCTCTCGAATTTCTAAGATAACCCCGACTTCCTTGAAATCATCTCCCTCCTGGACAGTCTTGTCTTTATTCATTCATTCTCCCTGCCAATCTTTCTAACATGCAAATATGAGCAAATTAACCATGCCTTTGTTCCCTGATGAATCTCCATAACCCTGAGGCATAGCTGTGGAATAGCTTGTAAAATCCTCTGGGATCTGGCCCTTTCTCACCTCTCCAGCCTTAGCTGCCAACATTAACTCTCTTTACTTCCGTCCTGGAAACCTCACTCTCCTCATCCCTCCATAGCCTGCTCAACAAATCTCCAGGAAGCATTCCTCAACCCACACACTCCTGTTGTAGTATGCTCATATTGTTCTAACTTTCCTCTCTTTCTCCTTCCTCTTTGACTACGTAACCCAGGGCCTAGTTCTGGCCTTATACAAAATGTACGATGGGGCTAGAAGGTAGTACAGTGGTTAGGGAGCATGCCTAGAATGTTCTGACCTGGTCTGATACCTGGCATCACTGAGCATCACTGAGTGCACCCCTGAAGGCCCCCAAGCACTGCCAGGACAGCCCTGGTATGCCTGGCACGATGATACCTAAGCAGAAACACATCCCAAAGTCCTTGCACTGAGCCACAAATCTGATTGGCTGAGACTCTTTGGTGGGGTGCCCTGAGCATCAACTGGGAGGCTTTGTCCCCTCCCCACCACCAAAAAAATATATAATAGAAGGCAGGAAAGAAGGAAATGAGAGATGAAAGGAAGAAGGAAAAGAATGGAGGGAAGAAAGGGAGATGGAGAATAGGAAGGAGGAAAGACGGACTTAACAAGGTTATGTGATTAAAGGGAATTTCAAATTATAAAGTAGAAGCAAATAGTATGTTAAATAATGTTAATAAGAATTACATATAATTGGGGCTGGAGCAACAGCACAGTGGGTAGGGCATTTGCCTTGCACGCGGCCAACCCGAGTTCGATTCCCAGCATCCCATATGGTCCCCTTGAGCACAACCAGGAGTAATTCCTGAGTGCAAAGTCAGGAGCAACCCCTGTGCATCACCGGGTGTGACCCAAAAAGCAAAAAAGAAAAAAGAAAGAGAAAAGAAAAAAAATTACATATAATTTACAGACCACCTTTTTTTTTTTTTGCTCTTTTTTTTTTTTTTTGGTTTTTTTCAGGTCACACCCGGCAATGCACAGGGGTGACTCCTGGCTCTGCAACTCAGAAATCACTCCTGGTGGTGCTCAGGGTACCATATGGGATGCTGTGGATCGAACCCAGGTTGGCCACGTGCAAGGCAAATGCCTTACCCACTGTGCTATTTCTCCAGCCCTACAGATCACCTTTATAAAAATTTATAATCCAGTAGACGAGTCCCCTTTAAATGAACATGACACTCGTGTTCCTCACAGATGCCTCTCCCTGCGCCACTGCCCTGCCCCCCATGTTCACGAAATCCTGACACGAAACTTTGCATAATCCTGGCCTCGGAGGGGGCTTTCCCGCACTGCGTGGAATGTTCCTCTGACACCCAAGTTCTGCCCAGCTCCTCCTTTGCTGCGCTACTGAGTGGGATTCCGGACCCTCGGCTGGCCAGAGAAAGTCTCTGGGAGGCTCACCAGCCCACTCACCTCCGGGGTCCCTGAAAATGATCTCCTTGACCACAAAGTCGGCTCATAAGCACGGCAGCCCAAACATCCCAGGAGTAACTAGCATCACCACTTCTACCCCTCCACCAATCCCAGCACAGATTGAAGGGCCAGCACTCCCCGGACCCAGAGCGTCAGGCCTGTTTCTCCAGAAGATCCTGGCCCCGGCCCAACCACACACACACACTCCTTGTGCCTAGAGCTGAAGTTTGCAGGGCAGGAGCTGTGAGACTGGGGGTTATCAGGCAAGCAGCCTTGAGGAAGCAGATGAGCGAGCGGCAGAAAGAGGGATGACAGGGGTTCTTCTCTAGCCGGGAGAGCTAAGGACATGGTTTCCCTCCGGCTGGAGTCCCTCGGGCAGAGACGCAGGGCACCTTCTGTAGAGAATCCCACAGCATGACCTGCCCTTCCTCAAGGGCTCTTAGTTTTCTGTCCAGCCTCTCCTCAAAAACCCACCTTTCCACTCAGAAAGTAGCCTGGGAAAATTATCTTTAATTATGCAGGACCTCGTCCTCCTCCTTCTGAGGAGCAGTTTAACATCATCAAGATTTGCTAAGAGTTGGGGCTGGAGCGATAGCACAGCGGGTAGGGTGTTTGCGTTGCACGAGACTGACCCGGGTTCGATTCCCAGCATCCCATATGGTCCCCCAAGCACCACCAGGAGTAATTCCTGAGTGAAGAGCCAGGAGTAACCTCTGTGTATCGCTGGGTGTGACCCAAAAAGCAAAAAAAAAAAAAAAAAAAAAAAAAGATTTGCTAAGTGTTGCCTCTGTGCACAGGCCTGTAAGGGGCGAATAAAAGAGGGTCTCTGGAAGGTCACACCATGAAAGATGAGTCACCCAAAGCATCTCTAGGACCTGCCAGGGCTGCAAAGGCGGCCACCAGTCTAGCACCCCCAGGGCAGAACGCGGTACTGGGGGAGACCCGAGTGTCACCTTACCATCTGGGTCAGTAGCATCAAGGTAGAGCCTCGAGATCCGCCAGGCAGAGTTCTCTCCTGCGCTGGATCGGCTCTGATAAAAAGCCCAGTCAGCCCAGTTCACACATGGCTCCGCCCTTCATCCCCCTTCCCCACACACACGCGCCTGAGACACAATGAACCCTGCTCAGAAACCATGAATAGACCCCTTGTTGCTGGAGAGGGGGCCCAGGGCTGCGCCGGGCTGGACAGCTGTGAACTGGAAGCTCGGAAACAGAGAAAAAGGTTACAGGGAGGAGGGGAGGCCAGCTACTGTCGCTTAGCAACCAGGTCCCTTGTGCCCAAAAGTGTGCCCATGCCTGCTAGGGCGACTCCCCCTTCCTGCTGTCAGGGCGGAACTGGAGCGATTCAAGCATTGGTTGAAATGTTTCTGGACCCCCTTGGACCACATCTCATCTCTGTGTGGGTTGGGTTTCCTCGCAGTCTGGGGCTGTCCGCATGTTGGAATCGTTGGAGGCGACGATAAGGGATGACTTTCTCTCTCCTAGGGCTGCGTCTATCACCCCAATGCCAGGGAAACAGAGTTCCCATCTCTGGACCCGCAGGAGTCTGCGGCACGATTATGCTTCAAAGTATGAGGGAGGCCCCGTGGAGCCCAGGGTGGGTTTCCACACCCAGGAGTCACATGTCTGTAGTCAAGGAAGTAGAACAAGCCCTGGGGAGAAGAACACCCAGGGTTGGAGGGCTGAGGCAGTGGGGGACTCCATCTCCTCATGCCCCTTTCACTGCTCCTTCAGATAGGAACGTTCAATTGTGAGCGTTCGAATCAGACCTTCATCTAGTTCATCTACTTCACCTGTAAAATGAGACTAATAGGCTTACCCCTAGAGAGCTGATACTTGATACAATGAGATGCTGAATCCAAAGCTCTTAACCTGGTACCTGGCAGGCTCTACTCAGTAAGTAGAAGCCAACCCACCCACCCAGGCTGTTTTGTTCCTTATTTTCTTCATTCCCTCAGGGTGTCAACTGTAAACTCCCAGCATCACACAGTGTTCTCCACACCATGAGGGTTACATCTCGCAGAAGCAGTGGTGGCCACATCTGAGAATCCCCAGACATCCTCTGAGATCTCCTCAGACAGTGCTCTTCAGCCTACCAACGTGAATACTGTGTGCCAGCACCTAGCCCAAGCAGGAAGCACAAATAGGTAACAGGCCTGTAGCCTGGCAGGAAAGATCAAAAATAATAGTTTTTAAAAGGGGAAAAATAATAAAATAAATAAATAAAGGCCCTCCCGTTGATCATCGATTTGCTCGAGCGGGCCCAGTAACATCTCCATTGGAGACTTTGTTGTTACTGTGTCTGGCATATCGAATACTCTCGGTAGCTTGCCGGGCTCTCCGAGAGGGGCGGAGGAATCGAACTCGGGTCGGCCATGTTGGCTGCGTGCAAGGCAAACGCCCTACCCGCTGTGCCTTGCACGCAGCCAACATGGCCGACCCGAGTTCGATTCCTCCGCCCCTCTCGGAGAGCCCGGCAAGCTACCGAGAGTATCTCGCCTGCACGGCAGAGCCTGGCAAGCTCCCCGTGACGTATTCGATATGCCAGACACAGTAACAACAAAAGTCTCCAATGGAGACGTTACTGGGCCCGCTCGAGCAAATCGATGATCAACGGGAGGGCCTTTACTTTACTTTACTTTTATTAGCCCAATGCTAGCAGCACTATGGAAAATGTTTGCTGAAGAACAATGAAAGGACAATGAAGGAAGAAAGTGGGCTTTGTGGCATTTTAAATTGCTCCAATCACAGTGAGGGGAAAGAGCCTGTGTAGTGTCAAGGTAGAAACTGTAGTGCTGTAGCACTGTCCTCCCGTTGTTCATCGATTTGCTTGAGCGGGAACCAGTAAAGTCTCACAACAAATTGTGAGACTTGTTGTTACTGTTTTTGGCATATTGAATACATCATGGGAACTTGCCAGGCTTTGCTGTGCGGACGACATACTCTCGGTAGCTTGCCGGGCTCTCCGAGAGGGGCAGAAAAATCAAACCCGGGTTGGCCATGTCAGCTGCATGCAAGGCAAATGCCTTACCCGCTGTGCTATTGCTCCAGCCCACCCTAAGATAAGATGGGGGACCCACAAAACCCACTTTTTAAAAAATGTTTTAATGAATCACCATGAGGTACAGTTACAGACTTACAAACTTTCATGCTTACGTTTCAGTCATACAATGATCGAGTACCCATCCCTCCACCAGTGCCCATTCTCCTCCACCAATGTTCCCAGTATCTCTCTCCCCACCCTCACCCCACCTACAACCTCCTTTCCCCCTGCCTCTGTGGCATTCCCTTTTACTCTCTTTCTCCTATTTAGGGTGTTGTGGTCTGCAATGCAGGTATGAAGTGGCCATCATATTCAGTCCATAGTCTACTTTCAGCACACATCTCCCATCCCGAGTGGGTCCTCCAAGCATCCTTTACTTGGTGGTCCCTTCTCTATCTGAACTGCCTTTTCCACCAGCATGTGAGGCTGGGGGAAAAATCCACATTCTTGCAATCCTTGCCTCCACCAGCTCCTGATAATAAGAAACTCTGAGAAACTCAGAGGGTCTGGTGCATGCACACAGAGTGTCTAGTCCGTGACCCTCATTTCCTCTTTCCTTCTTAAGACCAAGACACATGTTAATTCACACGTTCCCTGGCAGTCAACAACACATGTGATGTTTGAGCAAGCCTGGTCCCCAATAGCCCTGCCTGATCCCAGCATCACCCAGACCAAATATTTTATACCTCAGTTAACTCAACTTATGCCATACCCAAAACCCAGCAGTCATGAGTCCCCCTGAAAGGCACCGCCACCTACTCCCTGGCTCTGAGCTTTTACCTTCCTAAACCCTCTTGCTTGCTTTCTATCTTGTTCTTGAACTCCTTTAAGAAGGAGTTGACTTCTCAAAGTCAAGGCAAAGAACCGCCATCTGGGTTGAGGGAATTCCGTTTCCTCTCCTCTGGCCGGAAAGAGTCAAATCTCATCCCTACTTCAGTTCCAGAGCCAGAGGGACCAGCTCGCAGGCTGTATTGATGAGGGGTATTGACTTGAATGCAGCTTTGCAGTTGCTTTTGATGAACCAGCGGGTCAGGTGCCCATGCCAAACAGGAACTCACACAGGTCCTTTTCACTTCCTGCAGCCTTCTGCCCAAACCACCACCCTCGCTACAACATTCCTCCATCACCATACCACCCAGCAGCCTGACAGCCGTCAGGAAAACAGGAGCAGAGCCCCTTCACAGCCTCCTTCAGGAACCAACAGGTCTCTTTACTGAATTGGCTCTAAAGGTGCTCAGTGAACAGCTTTTTCCTTTAGGACAACTGTTGTTAGCCTGGGCCTGTGGGTAGCAAATGAGAAAAGCAATAGGATCGTCAAAAATGTTCGGGTGAAAATCTGAGAAATGAGATGGCCACAGTGGATTCTCGGAGGTTCTAGAACATTCTGGAGACTCTAGAAAATATGTTTATACAAAGATGAATCTATGTCCATGTGACTGAGAAAGATCTAACAACATCCTCGGCTCTTCCCTGTAGCTAATCAGGAGGCTCTGAACAGGCCCCAGAGAAGGCTAAGGCTAAACTTCATGGCTTCAAGTACGCCCCTAAAGACCCTAGAACCCCTCTGCAAAGATTCAGAGATTTACTTGTTTCAAGCACCAAAGTTCTTCTATTCAATCATTAGCTGATAATTAACTGAGCAAAGACCTTAGGGGCAAAAACATAGAGACATGACACAATTCAGGACAAAAAAAAAAAATGCAGACATTAGAGAATTATTTCAGAAAAGTTGCTCAGACCAGAAATGTGGCTCAAGTGGCAGAGCACATGACATGGAAGAACAAAAATACCAACACTTAGACTCTGTACCCAGCACCCCACATCATCCCCACTGTTACCAGGAGTGACCCCCACCAGCTACAATTAGAAATTTGTTCAGTGGATGATAGAAATGAAAAAGTGACTAAACTAACCTCCGCAACAACAAACACTAAGGAATGAGGACGATTTGACTTCTAGATTCCATTTTATTTCAAATTTCAGCTTTTGGTAAGATTTAAGGCACACAAACAAAAAAAAAATGGCAGATTTGAAGGAGAAAAACAAGCACGAGAGGGGTCCAGTTCATAACGACGGTGACAAGACGCTCTGAAACTCACTTTCCCCCCAGACACATCTAGTTGATGGTCCTGCGTGGTGAGGGAACGCAGTCCTCTGCCCCCTCACAGGCTGACATTCGCAGGAGGAAAAGGAAAGAAGGCCTTCCTTGTTCAACTGCTCAGACAACAAGCCCATGAACGAAGTTGTATTCTAGGAAACTATTTCTATTACATAAAGAACCATCGTGATGTCTGGATTATTGTGCAAGTCAGAGATAAACATTAAGAGTTCATCTTTAGATAGCACAGTGGTAGGGCGTTTGCCTTGCATGCTGCCGGCCCAACCAACCCAAGTTCGATTCCTCCGCCCCTCTCAAAGAGCCCTGCAAGCGACCAAGAGGATCCCGCTCGCATGGCAAAGCCTGGCAAGCTCCCCGTGATGTATTTGATATGCCAAACACAGTAACAACAAGTCTCACAATGGAGACTTTACTGGGCCTGCTCGAGCAAATTGACGAACAACAGGAGGACAGTGCTACAGTGCTTTAGATACTCTAAATCAAATTCCCCCCAAATGCTCATTTAAACAACACTTTTTCTTACATTTAAGCTATTTTCTTTAGGATTCACTCATATGTACATGCAAAGACATAAACTTGGGAAATACTTAGCTAAATATGGACTGTGTGAGTATTCACATGGTGAGTCAATCATTATATTGGAAACAAAGGGCATTTTTGCATCTGCTTTAACTAATATGTAAAGGAGTAGCAAAAAAAATCAAATTATGTGGCTAATTAAAAACAACTTCAGAGGCAGGAGCGATAATACAGCGATTTGGCGTTTGCCTTGCATGCGACTGACCAGAGTTCAATCCCCAGCATCCCATATGGTCCCCATAGCACCACCAGAAATGATTCCTGAGTACAAAGCCAGGAGTAACCTCTGTGTATCGCTGGATGTGAGCCAAAAAGA